TAAAGCAACCCGCGCGATGTTAATGTTGTATTTCGAAAATGCTTACAAAGCCTTAGTAGAAAACAGTGATGACACATGTAGAAATATTTTGCGGAAAAATAAATAAAAAAGCGGGAAATTTCTTCCTTGGTAGCCAAGTCGTCCGTTCAAAAATTTAGGGCAACAATTTTGTCACTACGAATTTAGCATTTTTGTGCTTGATTTCCTCCAAGTTTGCACCTTTTTTGGCATCATATTTGTCCCGAACGAGCAACTTTGATGTAAATCTGATTTTTCAACTGGTCACAGAAAGACTGCTTTGGTATTTTAGAAAACTGTGACCATGCAGCCAGGAGACTTAATTTGTTTTAACAACCGCCGCGTTCTTCATGGTCGAAATTCATTCAAGCTTAATGGTGGAGTCAGATTTTTAAAGGTATGTTTTTATTTTAACGACACTATACTTGCTTACCTTCCTTACTGCTCCCAGAAAATGGAAATGCCTTGAAAATTATTAAATAGCAAATAGAAATATTTAGATTTCAAATAAAAATATTATTGTTTCCTTCGACCAACAATTTGCTGTCTGCTCTCTTCGAATTATTTATGTACTTCTCTTAGTAATTACAACAATTGCAAATAAACACGATAACAAAGTTTACTCTTAACTGGTCCTGTTCCAGTAGTTCCGATAATGGGGACGGTGCAAAGTAAAGTGAGGAGAAAAAAAAATTAACAGCAAGGGGTGTACAGTAAACACCACAGGTAACCCAGGCTCTGTGATAGTACCACAGTACGGTTCCAGTAAAATTACAGTGTTTGTATGGGGTAAAAATATCATCCTAAAATTTCTAGGAAATACTAAATAAAGATCAATGAAACTTACTCTGCAGTTAATTGTTGTTGTCCTTATTGCTCCAACGAAGTTTCGTGATAATTTGCAGTAATTTGTTCAAATTCACTCTATCTACAATAATAGTATATTATTAATTACTAATCGTTTTTCGAAGGCAAAATCATGTAACTTTCATTTTCATAAAAACGATGTCAGATGCCTCTTAGTGCAAATGGCCTATTCACACTGCGAAGAGCTTCTATCATTATACTGTTTTCAACTCAGAAAAGTTAACGCGGTTGTTGAGTGAAGGAGATTAATTTCTCTCACGATCACAAAGTGATAAAACGCGGTTCATAATATTTTAGTAACCTGTTTTCGTTACTGCAACATTTTCGCTAAAACTCGTAGAAGAATTACAAAGACTATCTCGCTTTCGCGCCAAAAATGACTATGGTTCACGCCCGCGCACTTCTTAGTACTGAGAACTGATTCACGTAGTCGTCCTCTAGATGTCTCTGTTATAATATATTTACCTCAAGTACAGAATCTTACCGGCTGTGACATGCAGGTATGTTTGGCATTACTATAGTTCGTACTATTTGGTTTCTAACGTCCGGCACAACGTGTTCCTTCAAGAAGTCCTTGATCGTGGCCAGGGCCGGCCAAGGCATTTTTACAAGTGCCAAATCTTTTGTAAGTTTTGAATGAATTGCTAACCGGCCTTAGTGGAACGTCCCCTGTTCTGCATATTATACATCTTTCAAAATATTTCGCCGTTTCTATTTCGCTCCAATCCCCCGGCTAATTCTCCGTAACCCGCCAGCTGATGCTTACCATATTTGGAAGAAAGTCCGTCGATTCGATGGTGTATTGCCTATTAGTAAAATCCAACTAGTTGTCTATTATCAATGCTGCGTTCTGATTGGTTGAACTACTACTAGGCTATATGTTATAGCCCACTAGTAGCGAAAAGCTTCGGCTTTGAAAACCAAAACAATGGTCGCTGAATCGCGTTTTGCCAGCTAAAGTTGTTTTGTCTCGATATTTTTGACCAACTAGTTGGATTTTACTAAAACAATTATTCGTCTTGGCCTCATGGCCTCTGAGTCAATAGCCCATGAGGCCGAAGAGACCTTAAGATACCCCGAAATCGGTGTACGGGTAACGGGTAGCGCCATGTTTTTTTTCATTTTGTGGTGACGTCATCGACCTTACCCGGTAGAACCAGCCGTTTTTCCGGGGTAGACACCAGGTTACCCGTAGAAGATTTACGAGTAGCTACAAGTCCTACATGATGGAGAAACGAGTAAGTTTTTAAGACTTTTTAAGTACAAATGTAAATTGTATGACTCCTTGGCAATGTTATTGCAAGTCTGTTCAAATATTTTTGCCAAATTTGAATTTTAGCTGTAAAGAAAGCGCTTCAAAATGTATTGATTCTGGACCTCAAATGCACAGGTTGAACTCTGACATGATATCAATTTGTGGCGGTATTTGGGGGAATTTCTGAGAATTGCTCGAACGTTTGAGTTTCGCAAAAGAAATAGCATTCAAAAATTTAGCATGGGAGTCACTGTTGAAGTTGACAATCAAAGGAATTGTTTGGTGATGTGCCTCGATCAAATGGTGGGGTTTGCGATAACAAGCTTTCAGTCGAGGGACTTCCCGCCAATTAAGTTTCTTAAAATCTTTCTATGATATTTCAATAAGCTTATGTATGAATGAATTATTTGTTGCAGCTTGTTGTTAAGATATGAAGCATAGAATAGGAGGGAGATTTTGTATGCATTAAGCGACATGCATGTACAAAGTTAGTTTTGCGTGCTTGTTCTTCGGGTATCTTAATCGAAATAGTCACGCACATGAACATTTTACGTGTACGGGTACACTACCCGTACCCTTACACCGATATCGGGGTATCTTAAGGTCTCTAATTGACTCAGAGCCCTTCGGGCTCGACGAATAATTGTTAAATAACTCATCGATCCACCTCGTTTCTGGGCGAGGCAGCTTAGTTGTTTATGCCTGATTGAACTAAAATAATGGCGTTCACACGCTCATGACTAAAACTTAGCAGAAGAAATGCAAGAATACATATAAAGCACGATGGGTTTTATCTTTTTTTTTTGGTCGGCAGTATCTGTAAGAAAAAATCATCTGTTTATATCCTGCAACTGGCCGAAAAATAGGCCAATACCTTTTTATATAAATTTCAACAATTTATTACATTACAGACAAAAAGAGAAAAAAAGAAAGAAAAACAATGGTGCATAGTGCGAAAAAAGGAAATAAAAAGTGGTGTACGTCATTAATCAAACTACATTAATTTTGTAAAACGCGGTCGTCGATGCTTTGAAGAAAGTCTACGAGGAGGCAAGCCTTATGCAGATCTCGGAGGCTGATAACATTCCCCGCGATCTGCATAATCAAGCCTCATTGTTAAAATGTTATTTACGGTTTAGGTTAACGTTTTCTTACATCTGTTTTTCTTCTTCTTTGTATCCAAGGGTTGCTATGTCAACATTGACGAGTTCCGGAACACATTCCAAGTGATGTCGGAGTTGATGGGCTCGTATCAGCCTTGCAAACGGATTGGCAACCAATGCTTTTTATAAAAGAGCAATATGTTGTGGTAAATGTTACATTGAACATTTGTGCAATCTACGGAGGGCCTAACTCAGTAAACAGGATATTTTTCTGGCTTTCCTGCCAGAAAACACCGAGGAATGTCCCCTATAAGTTTCAGGAACTTGTGTAGGCATTTATAGATCTCCATATTTCGCAGTGCTGCTGTAAGTAGACTTCATTTAGGAAGTTCGAGAATTTTTTGCCAGAATTCCTATAGATTTTAGTCTAGAGTGGTGAATGGTTGTAAGTTGTAGAGTTTCACAGTTGCAAAGCTGCCCTTATTATGCAATAAATCTTGTTGCTGTTCGAAAAATCCTGACGTTCAGTCAGGTCTGTAAGCAACAATGCCGATCACTCGTAAACGCACCGTGCGCTTGTTCAATAGCCAACCCGGTTACCCCTTGCTAGCTGAGATTTTTCATCCTGCTATGTTCCCATTTGTACTATTTGTTTAAAATTATTTGAGCACAGTGCCTTTAAACCAGATTCAGTCTGCCGCACAGCCATTAGCCCGCGTAGCAGACTACTGAAAGTGATAGACATTTTTTTATGGCGCGTCTTGGCAATCAGAGCGATACACTTCTAAAGATTGACACACCACGTGACCCTTCTATTATGATACCATGTTAAACTTCTTTCAAAACCAGCCTGTCCTTACGTCTACGAATCGATGAATAAATTGCATCTACAAGCCACTATTTTACTTTGTCATACATCTTCAAGGACTGAAATTTGCCCTTGGACTCAGGGGAGGCATTGGACTCAATGGAGTCATCTACAGAGTGTTGTATTTTCTTTGCTCTTTACTATAGATTAAACACTCCTGAAAACTTCCTTGGTCATAAGAGAATCAGGCTAGTTTTGTAAAATTGTTAAACCTGCCGTGACCTACTTATCGATAACTTTTCTCCAGCGGTAGATCTTTAAGAACAAATGTCGCTAAGGATTGAGCAAAATTCGAAATGGTCAAACAAAACCTTCCCTCATACTTTGTGTGTAGTTAGTACTTCAGATGAAACTACTCACTGTGACGTTTGTTTGGCTTCTAACAAAAACTTGAACTAGGCATCGGGGGAGTTTGGGCAAAAATTTCATTTTTTGGGACAATTATGTCCTTGAAAATAGGAGTTTTGTCAGGTAAATATTTCAGAAAGCAGACCAACGGTTAAGAATGTGTTTACATGATAGCAAAATATCATCCTTCTTCTCAATAAATTTCTCTAGGCCCCCCCCTGACGGCCCCTGTTCATTAGGGCCATTTATACGAGGAAAATAAGACCATCTATACGAGAATGTCTTATCTAAGTCTTCTGTATACTTAATCTTACTTTTAAAGTGTAAGTTTATAATACGAAGATAGCAATTTGATTACCTTATTATAGGAAATTAACGCTCCATGAAATTAAGGTATTGGAAATTAACGGGACTTAAATTAACACGAATTTAATGGAAAACGACTTTCGAATAAAGAAAATTAACGCGAAAGAGGAGGTAGAATTTCATAATAAAGGAAATTAACGCGATTAATTACGCGAAATCAAAGGAGAAGATATTGACATCACTTCTGATCGCGACAACGATGAAGATGAACTCGAAATATTGTAAACCTTCGCCCTAGCTTTTGTGAAAGATGAAAAATAAAGGGTAAATGAAAAGAAAGAAAGCTTGTAGTTAATGTTTTTTAGGTGTCAAGAATGTCTGGACAGGTTCCAAAATTGGGGTTAAGATACTGGAGATTAAGAGCGCGGAAATCAACGTTGCACTTAATTAACGTCGCGGAAATTAACTCTCAACAAAATTAACACGACTTAAATTAACGCGAATTTTAACGATTCGCGTCAATTTCATGGAGCGTCAATTTCCTATAATAAGGTAGTAAATATAAATTGTGATAGAATAAAGTTAAAAGGGTCTACTTACACCAGCAGATGTCACGCATTTGTCCAGGAGGTCTGTTATCGCCTTCTCCTCACATAAAAACAAAAAATCTTTTTCCTCCGCGATGGGCCAAGTGTTTCCTTTTACCTTTAACGGCGTGCTCATTGTATTTGAGCGAAGAAAAAAGTAAAGCAGAACGAATAGACAAGGAAACGAAACGCGTTGTAATTTGTAAACAATTTTTTCCCGCCAGTGGCCTGCCAGTCCACCGCGGGGCAAGCGATAATTTTCCCGCCAAAAATTAACGCATGCGTACTATGCGTTCGCGTCTTATGTAAGACACGAAGGTCATTTATTCGAAGTTTTTCTCGTCTTAGCTAAGACGCGTCTTATCCAAGAACAGGTGTTAAGGGCTGTTCTAAAATAAGACACGTCTTAGCTAAGTCTCGTCTTATTTTAGACGAAATGTGCCGTTTATACGGAAAGTTCCCGTCTTATTTAAGACGCGTCTTATGGATAAAAAATAGACATTTTTAACACATTTTTTTCTTTAATTAGCATTCCGATTTAGATCAAATTGAAACAGGATGTGAATATTTCACTCTGAATTTCACCCTTTGTGAACCATTTCATGCTTAAAAATCCGCGGGCACTCGATATATTTTTGCATGCCAATCAAATGGAAATGTATACGTGAGACAAAATAGTAAATTTTCGCAACTTTTGTTGGCTGCTATCTTTCTTTTAAATGATTTCATTTGGGCGATGATAAGTAAGAACGTTGGATGGTTCCCATAGACTACATTCCGTTAAGTTTAACTTCCTCTCTCTCTATATATATACAGTGGAAATATTTAGCCGTCAAATATTTCCAATAGGCGCACGTAAAAAACTAACACCTTGTGTTACACAATACCACCCCGCTTTTAATAACCTTGCCTGAAGAAAATACTAATATGGAAATAGCACCCACAAAACCAACAACAGCTAAGAGAAATCTTTAAGGAGCTTCCCCTCATATCATATCGCAAGGGAAAATCTCTTTAGTTAGAGAGAATTTCCGACAGTCAGATAATTTCTATTACGAAATTGCAGGAGTCCTGTGTTGCCCGTCGCCAATTTTTAAATCTGGTAACCTGAGATGTTTCAAAGTTTGATTCCATGCTTTGTCGGTTAAATCCGACCAAGGGAGTCCCAGGAGACCCAAGGGGATCGCAGTGTACGTCGAATTCTTCGTCCCCCTCTCCCTTGTCATCAGGCCAAAAAATTACCTTCTCATCGATATCTCCCTTTTAATTCTCAACTTTTTATTTTCTCCCCCCTTCGTACTTTCTCGGGCCATTTCTCCCTCCTCCCTATTCTGTTTCTCTCTCCTCTAGATCCCTGAGTACTCTGTATAGATTAGTTGGTTACGTCTTAGTTCTCGTGTGAGCAAGATTGAAGATTTTACGCTGGTTTAAGACGTTTGGAGTATTTGCTGTCCGTAGTCACAGTTAGTGAGATTCTGTGTACCGAGGTTGTGACGAACCTTTTTCTCGCTGCAAGCGTAGTCGCTCCGATTTATTTTTGTTCCCGCACTCGCTTACAGCCAGAAATCTCTCGTCACCTTGTTGGAGAACGAAGAACTTCTCGTCATAATTGGTGAAAATTTGACATGATAACGTAGTGAGCGTTTTTTCTGAAAACATTATTAACGGATGTGCTAAAATGATCAAACCACACCTCACCTATCCTCTTGGTTCCTCGTGGCACGTAAGGCCTCCACAGAGTGCCTCCACTTATCTCGGTTAGCCGCAACGGTCTGCACTTTCTCTCACGATTGCCATTCTGCTTTTGCCCTTTCCTTTTCAACCGTTCGCCTCCAGGTGGGTGTTTTTTGTCTTCCTCTTCTTCTTTTTCGTTCTGCTACCCCGATCTTCAGGATGTTTTGGGGGTATACCGGTGGCCTATTCTGCTCAGCGGCGTCCTGTTGGCCTTTCCCCCGTACATCATAGAGTCTCTTTTGTTTTGAGGAACAGCTACAGTGTTCCCTTGATAAAGTGAATTTTCTTTGCTTCTGGTGTTTGCAATAACAGGCTGTTACCGGAGAGGGTGACAAGCCCAACCCCGAACCTGGAGGACCAGGGGACCACAGTTAGTCTGGTCTCTATCCTAGTTCGACCTGTTTGGCATGGGTGACCCTACCAGGAGTCAAAGACTCCAGCCGACATAGCTCTGTGGGTTAACGAGACACGGAAACCACTCTACTACGGTAAGGTGGAGGTCCCTAAATGACCACTTCGGGGAAAATTCTTTTTTTTTAGAACAGCAAATTCTATCAACTTATTCTTCAAGCAAATGTATGAAGATCAGACTAAAGAATTTCAGAACATTGGGGCTTAAAGAGTTCGTGGGGCGAGGTCCCGTTATTTCAGCAAAAGAAATTGACTGAAATTTGAAAATAACGGCTTCATACTGTTAGTAGAGAACACAAGAGAGATGCAGAAACGCCAAAAAAAAGCAAGGATGGGCAGAACTGGAAAAACAACTAAACATAGATTGAATTTAGGCAAACTGGTTGAAAAGCGCCTTTCTGAAAGTTTGTTTCATTCTATAATACTTGGGAATCATCTCTATTTGTCAGGAAGCGATGAGTTTAAAGGCCTTCTTTTATTGTATAAGCCCCACTGAAATACCAGGTGCGCTTTCGCGTAAAAGCATGAAATCTTCACACGTGGTGAAAACAACATGTTATTTTTGCTAACGAAAAGATGACCGTTGTTATGGCCACATAATAAACCGCGCCTTTTGCAGCAGAAAATATTAAAGTGAAATGGTTTGGCATTTTACGGGTGTTAATATAATTTATACTACTACATGAGAAATTTCTGCAATCTGATTGGCTTAGAGCAGTGGTATTTCAGCTTAATTTGAAATACCTACACGTGAAAATTACAAACCTCTTGCGGGTAGTAATATAAACCAATAATAGCATGATTCGTAAGTGATATTTGGTACAAATACCACTCGTGATATTTCAAAATTGTCTCAAATTTCACTCGCCTAACGGCTCGTGAAATTAACTATAACAATTTTGAAATATCACTCGTGGTATTTACGCCAAATATCACTACAAATCATGCTATTACCTATACAAATAAAAAAGTTAACAGAACGCTTGGAGATACAAAATTTCCCATCCAAGCACTTCCGAATTTTTCACGGTATGTCTACACAAAAATTAAGAGAAGAAAAAATTTCGTATCATCGCACGGCCATGTAATATCCTCTATTTACAAACTTGTAGTCTCGTAGTTAACAAGGTAGGCAAAATCACTGAAAATCTGTGTCCAACCCTTTAAAGGACACCACTTAAATTCACACGTCGACAGAAAAATATTTTACTTTTTTTGTTACAGAAGGTCGTTGTCTCTTGCTTATTATACAATTATTTACAAGAACATAATGTCAAATATCGCTTTCGAAACATTATTTATACAATCAACTGAACAAAGACAACAAAATTTAGAACCTTTAAGTTCAGAAAAAATATGACTTAATTTTTTTTTAGAAATTCCTTCACAGATTCACGTGCCGCTCAGAATGCTAGGCGGCATAACATTTAAAATGTTTTCAAACGGTCAGCAAGATCACAGTCATTTGGTTAAAATTTTAAAAAGTGTTTTCCATATAAAACGAATCTTCCACTAAGTTTTCACCCAGAAGAACAGTTAAGTTTCTGAAAATCTTCTCACAAGAGGACGCATATGCCTGATTTCTTTCCTTTCTTTCCAGACTCGGATTTGCCTGACGTGTCTTCTTTTTTGCCCTTTTTGTCCTTATTAGATTCTTCTTCTTCTTTATCTCCTTTCTCTTTTTCTGTTTCTTCGTCTTTGTCCTCTTCACCATCCTCTTCTTCTTCCTCTTCCTCGTCTTCTTTCTTACTGTCTTTCTCCTGAAAATATATCAAGCACAATATGATTGGTGCTGTTAATACGTTAATACGGACATGCACGTAAGGGGCCATAGAAAGTGTCCCTATATAAACGGGGTGTCCGCATTAAAGGGGTTGAATTAAGGGCTTTCTTTCCCCAGGGGCAAAGCAAACTATCCGTAATAATGAGGTGTCCGTAAAGCGAGGTTTGACTGTACTGTCCAACACCGTTAATACGTACACTTGGGGGCCATAGAAAGTGTCTCTATATTAACGGGGTGTCCGCATTAAAGGGGTTGAATTAAGGGCTTTCTTTCCCCAGGGGCAAAGCAAACTATCCGTAATAATGAGGTGTCCGTAAAGCGAGGTTTGACTGTACTGTCCAACACCGTTAATACGGACACTTGGGGGCCATAGAAAGTGTCTCTATATTAACGGGGTGTCCGCATTAAAGGGGATGAATTAAGGGCTTTCTTTCCCCAGGGGCAAAGCAAACTGTCCGTAATAATGAGGTGTCCGTAAAGCGAGGTTTGACTGTACTGTCCAACACCGTTAATACGGACACTTGGGGGCCATAGAAAGTGTCTCTATATTAACGGGGTGTCCGCATTAAAGGGGATGAATTAAGGGCTTTCTTTCCCCAGGGGCAAAGCAAACTGTCCGTAATAATGAGGTGTCCGTAAAGCGAGGTTTGACTGTACTGTCCAACACTGTTAATACGGACACTTGGGGGCCATAGAAAGTGTCTCTATATTAACGGGGTGTCCGCATTAAAGGGGTTGAATTAAGGGCTTTCTTTCCCCAGGGGCAAAGCAAACTATCCGTAATAATGAGGTGTCCGTAAAGCGAGGTCTGACTGTACTGTCCAACACTGTTAATACGGACACTTGGGGGCCATAGAAAGTGTCCCTATATTAACGGGGTGTCCGCATTAAAGGGGATGAATTAAGGGCTTTCTTTCCCCAGGGGCAAAGCAAACTATCCGTAATAATGAGGTGTCCGTAAAGCGAGGTCTGACTGTACTGTCCAACACTGTTAATACGGACCCTTGGGGGCCATAGAAAGTGTCTCCATATTAACGGGGTGTCCGCATTAAAGGGGATGAATTAAGGGCTTTCTTTCCCCAGGGGCAAAGCAAACTATCCGTAATAATGAGGTGTCCGTAAAGCGAGGTTTGACTGTACTGTCCAACACTGTTAATACGGACACTTGGGGGCCATAGAAAGTGTCTCTATATTAACGGGGTGTCCGCATTAAAGGGGATGAATTAAGGGCTTTCTTTCCCCAGGGGCAAAGCAAACTATCCGTAATAATGAGGTGTCCGTAAAGCGAGGTTTGACTGTACTGTCCAACACCGTTAATACGGACACTTGGGGGCCATAGAAAGTGTCTCTATATTAACGGGGTGTCCGTATTAAGTGGGTTAAATTTAGAGAAAATACAAGGGCTTTCTTTCCCCAGGGACAAACCAAACTGTGCGTAATAATGACGTGTCCGTATTAAGCGGGGTTTAAATGTACTGTGGTCCTTTCGAGGAGGGTTTGTTCAAAAATTTACGTTTAGTTTAAAGGAGCTGTTTCACGAAATTTATGGAAATTTCAACAGTGGTAACTGCTTGGATCCTCAGACGTTTTTTTTTTAACATTTGATAGACAGCAGTAAGCAAATATCCATCACTGCTGGAAAGAGGGCCGTAAAAACGTAACCTGGTAAGTTTAAAGATCACAAGTCCAAAGAGAGCGAAGATATTGTTCTACAAGATCGCGAAATTTTACAGACGTTTGTATGGTGGGGTGTAAGTACATACAAACGTCTGTAAAATTCCGCGACTTTGCGGAGCTATATCTTCGTTAGTTTTCAACAAATAACTTTAAAACTAGACAACTTTACTGATTTTACAGCGTTTTTTCCAGCTGTGTTGATGGATTCTCACCGACGGGTCCCAGTCAAAAGTTGAAAAACCCGTGGAAGTGTCTGTCAGGCGAAACAAAAAATTAATCGCTCGAAACCTTAAAACATAGCATGTACCAAAAAAGACGCAGATGGACCAGGTAGGAAATCGTCGGACAATGGGCAAATTTGGGTTGTCCGATGACCGAATGTTGCAGCTCTACACATTTCAATATGAAATCTCCCTACGAAATCGAAAGATATGAACGAAAATACTGAGATACTGGCCTACAAAAACTCTTACCTTTCCTTTCTTGGTTTTCTTTTTGTCCTTTTTATCGTCCTTGTCCTTCTTGCTGGACTCGTCGTTTTTCTCTTTCTTCTGTTTCTTCTTCTTCGTCTTCGTGTCCTTATCATCCTGTGCCTTTTTGTCTGAAATATCGGAAAAAGAAAAGTATGACCGAGTGGTACCTTTGTCGCTCAGTAGCTTTAAATCCCACTATGGCCACTGGCTGCTCGGAACTGTTCAGGGTTGCCCTGAGTTCAACGTCTCCTCAGCCCTTACACCTTACTTCCGAGTAACGGTCAAGTAAGAGTAAGGATGGCCTAGTGGTGAGAGTACTTGCCTACCACCAATGTAGCCCAGGTTCACCTCCCGGCGTCGACGCCATATGTGGGTTGAGTTCGTTGTTGGATCTCTCCTTTGCTCCGGGAGGTTTTTCTTCGGGTACCCCGTTCTTAAGGGCTCCAAAGCGCTTCGTGGGTAAACAAATTACAAAATTGCGAAAGCTGGTGCTGGTCAGTCTAGGTCTAGGGTCAGCTAGGATTCTTACCTGATTTGTTTGAATTTACAAATATGATATCCTACAGTACACTACAGCGAAACCTGTATTAAGCGGACCCCACATCAAGCTTTAATGAGTTCAAAATTTGTCTTCCAACGCTTTCTACAAAACGAACCAGTATTTAGCTCTTTTCTTATCTTGACGGCTGTTTGAGATTCTACACTCTTTCTTTCCTTGTATACTCAGCAGAGTAAAAACACAGGTAACTCAGGAAACCAGTCACGTGGCACATACAGGAACCACAGGTATAGAGTACCGAAGTGTGACGTCATAAAAAATGAAATTTGTGAAATTATGGGATTTGTTAAGCTATTCTGAAAGAACAACGTCCAAGACGCCTACTCGCCAAAAATTAGCAATTTGGGGCAAATTGTCTCTGAGATATTAGCCCAGATATGCTCCGATGACTCCATACAAATCCTTCTAAATCTTACCTGGTTCCTAATCTTATGAACCAAGCCAAATTTAGAAGGATTTGTATGGAATCGTCACAGCATAACTGGGCTAATATCTCAGAGACAATTTGGCCCGAATTGCTAATTTTTGGCGAGTAGGCGTCTTGGACGTTGTTCTTTCAGAATATCTTAACAAATCCCATAATTTCACAAAGTTCATTTTTATGACGTCATCACTTCGGTACTCTATTGCCTCACAGCTATCTTAGTTTAGTAGAATCCAACTAGTGGTCTGTTATCAATGCTGCGTTCTGATTGGTTGAGCTACTACTAGGCTATACATGTATGTTATAGCCCACTAGTAGCGACAAGCACCGGCTTTTTGGCGGCAAAAAACGATTAAAGTCTTTAACTAGCTAAAGTTGTTTTGTCTCGATATTTTTGACAAACTAGTTGGATTGTACTAACACAATTATTCCTCTCGCCCTCATGGCCTCTGAGTCAATAGCCCATTCGACCTTCGACCTCATGGGCTATTCACTCAGAGGAATAATTGTTAAATACCACACATAGCCGTTACCAGGTGTTCTGATTAGTGGAGACTAGAGCTGTGATTTTTCCTACTCACTTTTCTTGAAGCCATCCCCACAACCTGAGTACATTTGGAAGAGGCTAGTTTAAATATCTACTCTACCTTTCTTTTTATCCTTGGTTTTTTCATTTGTGTCACTCTCTTCTTCCTCATCTTCTTCCTCCTCTTCATCTTCATCTTCTTCTTCTTCACTCTCCTCTTTCCCTTTTTGTTTTTTCTTCTTTACGTCAGGTTTTTTGCCTTTTCCCTTAGCTTCACCTTCATTCTCAGCTTTTTTATGCTGTGACTTCTTTTTGCTCACTTCAGCTTCCATGTCATCCTCCTCCTCCTCTTCCTCCTCGTCGCTTTCCTCTTCTTCCTCGGATTCCTCATCCTGCTCTTTCTCCTCCTTCTTCATCTTCTCGACTTTTGTCACATCAACTTTTTTCCCAACAACTTCAAGCTGTTCATTCTTGCCAGTTTTCTTTCCTTCCTCGGAACTATCCTCCTCCTCATCACTTTCTTCATCTTCTTCTCCCGTTTCCTCCTCTTCTTCTTCATCATCGTGCTCTTCTTTCTTACTGGCAACTTTATCTTTCTTGTCATCTTTCTCTGAGGAGACCTTGGGCGGTTTGTTCACGTCTGTTTTATTTTTTATGTCTGCAGACTCTTCTCCTTCCTCTTCACTGTCACTTTCATCTTCGGTCATAGACTCCTCGGACTCTTCATCTGCGTTTGTAATGAACAAATAAAAAACAACAAAATATATAATTTAGAAAAAACGACCATCTCTGTCAGCAGTTTACGGGTAAAAACCTTGTCCTTGATCCCCCGGGACAAATTAAAGAGAGCCATTAGTTAAGGTTCGTCTATGAACCCAATTTATACCGGTCCCGAACAAATTTTTGAACAGACAAAAACGTGCACGCATCCGCTTTTCGTTTACATGGGACCCGCAGAACCGTGCAAGTTTTTGAACGGTAAGCAGTACTGCAATCTGTAACAGAATCTACACCGTCCCGTGTAAACGGGTTGCACTGGTAAAAAAAATGGTCCGTTCAAAAATTTGTCCGGGCCCTTTGTTAACGGGCCGTTTATAGATTTGGAGATAAGTTTTTATGGGCAATCCTGATAAAACCTGAAATTCTCCTTGGACTGGACTGGTCTAACCAGCTAGTCGCCCATAAGCGCCCATATTTTGACAAAAAAAATATGTGATTTTACCGATTGTTTATTGAATCAGCTCACCCTTTTTCGGTTCCTCTTTGGTGACTGCAGCTGTTTTTTCTTTCTCTTTGTCCGTCTTATCTTGGCCTTCATCGTGCCCCTCCTCATCCTCTTCACTCTCTGGTATACCAGAAGAGCTCTCAGCATCCTTTTGTTTTTTACTGAACTTAGTTTCCTAAAAATGGTCACCAGCAATCAAATGTTAGCTCCCTATGCAGATGTCCCTATGATTAGGGAAGACTGTGAGACAAGGCAAAAGGATGCCAGTGTCAAGGGGCTATCACATAAATGTGGAAGGACAAATGCATTGTAGTATGTGTAATGAAACTTTGACGATTTTTGGGATAAATTGTGTCTTACAAAAAAAGTGTCTTGAGGGCAATACTCAGGTGTACATGTAGGTTCTTAATCTGCTAGCTGCCTTTTAAGCGGGATTTTATTGGACTCAACAAGTACGATTATTGGGCCAAAAAAACAGCATTAGGTACTCGCCTTGAATACTGACGTCTAACAATATTTTAATTTGCAACTTCTGTTCATGCCCTGTGACTGTACATGAGAAGTTGCAAAGGACTTATGACCTCAGGCTGTAATGTTAAAAGTAAAATCACCCACCCTCGTTTCTTTTTTATCAGCTGACTTCTTATTGTCCTGTCTTTGGTCACCTCCTGTTAAAGTGCATAACAAAAAAAATCTTTGATCCTGAAAATCTTTCAGAGTTTAGGGACTACAGGCTTTCCCTCATGAGGGAGCTTTAGCAATGACAACAGTGATGGCAATGAGAATATCAAAAAAGCAATGGGTTTGATAAGCAAAACATAAGTTTTGCACATGCACCACGCGCAGGTATGTTTCCTTGCCGTCACTGCACGATCACAACATGAAATTTCCAAATCTGACATGTTATGAAGGAACTAAACTTGAGTACCATCCCCAAGAATTCAACTCCAGATCTATCCTACTATTAACTGGGTTGAATTTGAGCAGCTCCCTCACATTTTGTTTACTAGCTGTCGATTAAACTCAGAAAATCATGAACACCCAAAGCAGAGTTAGCCTGCATCGCAGATGTAATCTAACCCTGGTTAGCAATGTCTGCAAAGCAGCGGTGATATACTTGTTCTTTTCCCCCAAATTCCAATGGACGTAACGAATTACCGGAAATGGACTTCGGAATTTCTGTACATTCTGATTGGCAAATCAACAATGGCTTTTTTAACAGGCCAATGATGGAGTATACTCAAATCCTGGTACAAAGGTGGTGGCCCAGCACAAGGATTTCTGCGACTGTTCACAAATTCACTTAACCAGAGTTTGGTTTCATCTGTGACACAGACTAAAGTAAAGCCAGAACTCACAAATTACATCTTTGTACTATTAATAACAGATACTAACCACTGTCTTCATGTGATATTTTAGGTAGTGTAGACATGTCCAGAGGATTGACAGGTATCTTCTCTTGGTTTGTCGGCTCTTTTTTCAGTGCGGGAAGAGTCCGAGACAGAGGAGGTAATGTTGACTTGCTGATGGGAGGCAAGGATCCTCCTATTGAATTACCAAGGTTCTAACGGATATATAATCACACATTTTAATGCAATGCATGAGAAAAAATTAATATTTTAATGCTTAAATAAAAAGAAACCTTATTCTACATTCAACAAAACCTTATGCATCACCAACCACACTAGACTATGCACTAACTTGGTTACTTTCAACTTTAAATGTTCACCGTTTACAATAAAGTTGATAAGGGAAAATGATGAACAGTAGCTATAATGATGTTAGCAGTGAAAAAAGGCAACATTTTGTGATGCTTCAATTATTGCTTTCCCTGCAAAATGACATCTGGGTGCAGAAATTGCATACTGATCACAAACACTACCCAGATCTGCGTAGTGGTTCATCTGAAAGGGTTATCAAAAGTACCTGGCTGCCGGTAAAAATCGCCTCCTACTTGGTTATTATCGGCTGGTTACTTTCTGACAACCCTGGTACATCATCTGTATGAAATTTCCATGCTTGTTCCTCAGACGTCCATTCGTGTAAGGAAGCAAGTGAAATGTCACAAAACATTGGCTGTTTTCTCAGATTATATAGCGTATGAAGATGCCTTCTTAAAGGCCTGAAAATGGCTTATGTTAGTCAGCAGGTCAAGAGATCTGTTGTACAGAACTTGTAGTTGAGGTAGTAATATTATTACTAATTTAATTACAGTGTAAGATAAATGGAAAAAAAAAAATTACACTGTGCACAATAATTGAGCAATCTACCAACACATCCCAAAAGAAATGTGTAACTTTAGAGCAGCAGTAATCCAACAACTTCTGAATTTTTGGTTTTTCTTCGAAGTGGAAAGTACAAAATAAATAAAGCTTCTAGATGATTACCTCTATATTTCTTTGTCGGCGCTTGTTCCTCGCCGCACCCCCTGCAGGAAGTGTGGCAGCAAGCCCACCCCTGGGACCCGGTGGGCCATCCACAGCATCCTGAAGGCTTCTGGTAGAAGAAATTGAGGCTGAAAGCATATCCTTTTCAGCTTCAGCCTCACTGTCTGTACCATCAGTGACCTCAGATGTTTTATATGCAGTAACAAGTGTATGACATCCACCACATGCAACCTTTTCAACGGTAAAACCATCAAATCTCTTCACTTTTTCAAGTCTGAATAAATTGGAAAATGATTCTTCTCCCATTCCTAGCTTTCCATGTCTTCCATCTCCACAAGTATAAAGATTTCCATGTTTAGTTACAATGGCTGTGTGAGACTCGCCGCAAGCTACAAATTTAACGTGAACATTTCCTAGACTAGTCACTTGTTTAGGTGAGGTACATTCTAACGTTGAAGTTCCATGACCAAGTTGGCCATGGTCACCTTGTCCAAAAGTAAATAATTTTCCTCTAGCTGTGACTACTGCAGTATGATTCCCACCACATGCAACAGCAGTAACCCGTTCATTTATGAATAGCTTTTGAAGCTCTGAAGTGTCTCTAAGTTGTGATTCATCCAGTCCTAGCTTTCCACTATCATTTTCTCCACATGTGTACAAAGAGCCATCATCTAAGATTAAAAGACACAAAACAGGCAGTTAAAAAGCCATACAGGGCTGTACAGCATAACATCACAAAGGCAAAGAACATTCATGCAAATCTTTTTCTGTACAGCAAAGATCAGGGCCCAGTTGTTCGAAGGCTGATTAGCGCTTAACCCGGGGTTAAAATTAACCCTGGTTCCTTTTTCTTGTTTTCAAAAGCATTTTCTCGGATAACTTTCTCCGTTATTTTAACAGCTTCCAATCATCAACTTGTAGACAAAAAGAATTAAAACTGAAATGCTTTTTAAGCTTTCAAATCTGAATTCAAATCTCACACTAACCCTGGGTTATCTTAACCCAGCTTTGAACAACTCGGCCCTGATTATCAGAGTATAATTACTATATACACTTGAAAGCCTCAAAAAAATGTTTTCAAGGTCATTGTAAAGTCAGGAAAAATCTGTAATACAGGTTTGGGTTGTACCATAGTAACAGCCATGGATTTGCCTTTAAGGGAGGTGTACACATAGGTACACTGGACTTAACAGAATATAACACAATACATGTAAATTATCACGTTGTTTTGTTTAGAACTTCTGGGTGCCCTACAATTCTTAGAATACAGTCTTGTTCCATGAACATTAAAACATTGAGACAATTTCATGTGACTGATACTATTTGAAAATACACCCAATTGCAGTTATTATAAACAAAATTCCTCTGTTTTGAATATCCAAATGAGCTGATTATATGGTATGCAAAATAATTTTCAAGAACGTGAAGATATTCTATAATCAAAATGCTGAATAAGACAGTCTTCATGCAGTAACTATCAGTAAATTCACCACAATTGTAACTCACCAGTAACTACTGCCATGTGATAATAACCACAGGCGACAGCTGCTACCTTGCCCCTCAGATGCACCTTAGTGGGTACTGCACAGTCTTCATCTCCTTGGCCTGTTTGACCTTCACTACTAGATCCCCATGTGAACAACTCTCCTTCAGCTAGGAAAGTATTCAAAAATAAAGTACTCTGGTCGATGTTTTTTTACCATAAGTGAACCCTTTGAGTGCCAAGAGTGACCAACATCAATTTTCTCCTAACAATATCCATACACCATCACAAGACAAGGTCACGAGAATTAATAAAATGATCACCAAAGGTAAAATACCTTGATCAGGGTGTGCCAAAACCTATGTCCAATTGCCTGGGACAGGTATAAATTTAGTTCGGACAGGTAAACCTTTGAAACAGTTGAAAATTGACTTCAAATTACAGTGGAATTAAAATGTATCTGACACTCATAAAAGCAAACCTCATACTTGACAAAATAAGGTTAAATATTCATTTTAATTGCCATACTGCAGCCATTTCATTTGTTTTTATGAGCTCCGTTTGGCTTAGGAACGTGGCAAAACTTTTGGACAAGAACTGTTTGGTTTCAGACAACCAAACATACATGTAATATAGTGCTTGTCCCAGGGACAATTGGATAAGAAAATTTTTCTCTTACTTCATTGATTTTTTATCACATTCTGGAACATGGAAATCAGTGCGGAGAATTTGTATGTGGATATTGGGGCTAGCCTCAAGGGTAAAGTACTACTGCAGATGAGACTGGCACCATTTCTACATGGTCATCCAAGCTAAGGTAGGGTTTAGGTCTAAGCACTGAATTACAAAAAATTCCTAATGGTACTTGTAGGAACATGTAGAAGGCAAAGGAATTGGCTAAACATGATCAAGGAGTTTAACTCTGGCCCAGTGGATAAAGCAATTGATGTCCCTAATACTTAATATTTACTGTATGGCGATTTATCCGGTGGATAGCTAGCGCTATCCAATGTTTGAACAACCCGGGCCAGATAAATAACTATCAAGTGAGCAGGGCAACTGGTTTTCACAATCCTCATTCGCAGCTGGATAGCAATATCAGGGGCACCCAATGACGGTTTCCTCCAAAATACATTGAAAACTCTTTTTAGGCTGTCCAGAGTACTTTTAGATCTCTGGAAATGCATTCTACGCAGCACTAAAAAACATTCATCTACTTACTGGGACCTCATCCTAGAGGAACTTGTCTTTTCGAAATTATAAGGGCTTCAGTATTATTTTCCCAAAAATTTTAGATGCAATTTAAGGTTTATATAGTGAGAATTTTTCTTATTACTCTATTACTCTCTCCGTCACATTTTTGAATCTGAAAACTTTAGGTTTTTTATGAAAATCAGCCTAACATGGCCAGGAGAAAAATGTGAGAAATTGAACTTCAGAACTTTGGGAATTTATTAGATAAGCTTTGAAAATTGTGCCTTTAATGGAAGCAGTCATGTACAAATTTTTAGCTGTCCTCAAGCAATAGAAAATTCTAGCCAAAATTTGCTTCCTTGAACAGATAATTTACAGGAAACAGTCATTGGGTGCCCCTGCGATATATCCCATTGAAAACGATATCTAACTTTTGAGATACCATGGCCAGGACTTCATGCAAGGAAACAGATCAAGTCACTGTATATCAAGTATAGTCCAGAAAAGAAAAAGAACTTGGCCACGCTTCCTCTCTCTACATGTACATTGTCACCTCTTGAAGAGACAAGCAATGCCATATGCAAATATTCAATTTATTTTTAACCAATTTACACTTATCACTGAAAATTTAATTTTTATTAAAATTGATTAATAATTAATAAATAGTTGTCATTTTTGTGATTGATTCTACATTTTTGTTGTATCATTTTAATAGTGACTGCTAAAAATGTAAAACAAAAGGAGAACAGGATTAGACTCTGCTAATAGTTACCAGTGACTGCTGCAGTAAAATCAGATCCACAAGCAAGGACCTTGTATTGCTGATCTGCTAAAGATTCTATTGCTTTAGGGAAATTGGAATTCTATGAAGAAAATCAGAAAAATTACAATTACCTTCAGAGAGAGTTTTTGTTTTTTTAGAAAATAGGACATTTAAGACAGGGCCTCTGCCAGGTCACAGAAGAAAATGTCAAATTTCGCGGGATTTTTAGGGACAAATTGGCAGAAAAATCATCCAATTTCGCAGGAATTTCGTGGGAGATTTTGGGGCAAACTTTACCAAAAAGCAATCAGTAAAAACAGCCAATTTTGTGGTTATTTTCAAGGCAAATTTCACTAGAAATCGATCGGTTTGTGCAGAGCAGACCAGCATTTTTAACGTTTTTCTAACAGAGGTCATCATCTTTCAACAACAATACACTCCAGAAATGAACCAATGGCAAAGCCTTTAACATCATGGCTAGTGCCCAGTTTTTCGCAACATAATCTACACCTGGTAGTTTCGGGACGTTGTTTGCACGTTTCAGTGACGAAGTTCCAAGACAAATTTGTAGGTTTACAGCAAGTAAATAGCCCCTATAGCTGAAATAAGTTTCAAATATGTTGTACAGACAAGTATTTGATAAGATTTCTATCGAATTTCGTGGTATTTTTCGTGTTTTTGTGAATTTGGCGGGATTTAGCGGATTTAACTGAATTTCACTCCTCAACCGCGCGAAATATCAGAAGCCCTGTTTAGGAGTATTGCCCCAAGCCTTTTTTTGAATGTGAGATTAAGTGTGAGGCCATTGATATGAAAATGACTTTTTATCCTCATGCAAATAAAATTGAGGCAATTTGCAGCCTTGTTTTGAGAGTGAGAGCTTTTGCATCTCAAAAATAGCCTATTACATAAAAGGCTTGGCCATTTAGGCTTCCATTATTATTGCAAACTGTTTAGGACTGGAATTGAGCAACTCATTTCCATGTTTTACCATGAAGGGCTGAACCAAAATGAATGTCGCGTACAACCTGTACAATGTCATGTTTACCAGGCTAAAAGCAAGGCGGCTGTTCTAGGCAACAGTGAGTTTACTTGTTTGGTCTCCATTGTTTTGATTATTATCTTTAATATCTTTAGCAATGTACAGCTGTATTAAACAAAATGATTTTTCACCTCACAGTCTCCATGTCCCAACTGTCCGTCACCCCCACAACCAAAACTGAACAGCTTTCCTGATTCTGAAAGACAAGAAAGATACATAGAAAAAAACATGTGCATGTAGTGAACACCTGTTTTTTTTCCCCTAAAGTGCATGCTCTCCAAAGCTCACATAACATCTAACAATAAAACTGTTTCCTACCAAAAATCTCAGACTGGTCAACACAGGGGCATCTATAATCTCTGCTCAATGTGAATTTTTTACATAACTTTGTACACGTAGAGGTCTTTCTTTGTGGGCTACATTTATATGACAAACTATTTAATGACTTAATAATAAAAGATGATAGTTCAAAATCAGCAGGAGCAGGTAGCTAGACATGGAGAATGAATGCATTTACCAACCAGTTGACACAATTGTATGATTCCTGCCAGCAGCTACAAGTTTGACTCTCTCAGGTTTTAGCCCTGCAAATCAAAAATTTTGAGACAACTGTCAACCTTTCTGTGATAATTGCACAAATCTGTTGAAACAGGCAGCTTATCAGCCTGCAAAAACAGCTGTGTCTCCTCGCAGCTCATGACTATGCAACAGAAATTCCATACTGATGGCATAAAAGGCACTAATGGTCGACAGAGCTATTACATTGTTTTAGCTAATGTTTATGAATGACAGACAAAAGACAAAAGGCCGCGAAGGTCAAATGTAAACACTCACTAAACGCAATGAATCTCTAACAAAACAGTCAATATTTGTGGAATATACCAGGAGTCTTCTCTAGAGGAAGCATTTGAGTTTTGATGAGCTCATTCGCAGATGAAGACAACACTTTACTAAAATCGACCAGGAGAAATGTAAAATTGAACAAATTGGCATTTTGGAACCCCATGACTACCGCTTTTATTATGTAAACATTGACCTACATCATCAGTACGGAATTTCTGTCACTGAGACGCAGACGTTCCTCTGCGCGAAATGTGCCCAGTGGTGAAGAGCGAGGAGAAACAGCTGTTTTTGCAGGCTAGCAGTTTATCAACTCAACAAAAAGCAACGACAACAACAAATTAACACATAAATCAAAAAGCTCTTTATTCCTTTCAATTAAGATATATTAGTTAATGTTTTGATCTATAATTTAATTTTTGTAACGTAAATACGCAATTCAGTTTTCGAACTGCTTTGTATTTATTAGGGGTGTAACGATTCATATTCCTTGCGATTCGATTTGATTTCGATTCAATTATGTAAATGTTTCTTAATTCTTATAACATAACGTGTAATGGTAACAACAGGCAACCCTAAACCCTCAATTTGAGAATAGTAACAGGAACAGGAGGATTCACAGTCGCT